CTTATGCTGTTTTTTAAAAGAGAAGAACTGAGAGAATTATTAGACAACCTCTGTTTTTCCTTTTTATTTTGGCTGGGCTTCTAATACTTTTCTAAATCCTTTATGAGCTACACTTCCCACCTCTTTCTTTAACCTCATCATACCCTGTTCATGCCTGGCTCTATGTCAGTTACTGTATCTTGCTGTTAGCATTTTCTTTCTTCCAGAGAGATTAAGGATAAGGATCCTGAGTCCATTTTTTTGTAAACAATGTGTAGATAGTAGTTACCCAAAATTTTGTTTGGTAGAGACCATTGTAATGATATATTAACTCCCTAGCATAGAACCTGGAGGCAATAAATACATTTTCTATTTCCATGTCAAAATACGCTTGAATAAGTGTGGTTTGACCTCGAGTTAGATATTGGGCTGAGGAGTGGGTATTATTGGGTTGGGGGGTGGCTATAGCTCAGTGGTAGAGTCTGTGTTAATCGTGAGAGAAACTCTGGGTCAGTCTGTAGCATGCAGACACATTTGATAGGTGAAATGGGCATTCGAATACACAGGATAGAGTGTGTGGGTGTCGATCAAGTAAGAACTACTTATGACATTGGATTGAGTGTTCTTCATGCATTATTCTTCTGATTCTAAAGAGTTTTATATGAGGTAGAACTTTCTGTCTTTTAAATGAGGAACAAGTAACATGATGAGCTTGCATTGTTGCTACCCTGGCTGAGCTAAAATGCAAATTCTGGACCATAAGACTTGAAGCCTGAAGCCTTTAATTTTAACATAATAAACAGCCTTTGCTGTTAATTTAAACTTTCTCATGTAGCATGAGATTAAAGAAGATTAGGATTAAATAAGAGTCTTGGGAGGTGGAAAATGGAAAGACTAGTATTATCTAAGGGCAGAGAGAGGTTAGATATAAGTTAACTTTGCATCCCTATTGACACGCCTGGTACATAGGTGATGTTTAATGAAGTGCCCAGATAATGGCTTCAGGTTTTCTTAGGAATTTCCTTACAGGCAGTTGAGCTCTTTAGTAGTATAGTTACTGCTGCGAATGTGCCACCTAGTGGTTATGGAGATTAACCACAGGTAGCCTCTATAGATAAAATCATCCATTTACTCAGAGCCTCCTATCCTCCACCCACTCTGCTCAACCAGTGTGTGGGGGTGGGGGGGTGGTCTCCACCTTCCTGGGTTTAGAGCATTTTGTGACCAACTGGCTTTCCCTGTATTTTAGGACAAGTTCAAAGTAAAGATACATTGAGGATTCATACCAAACAAAAATTATCTTAATGAAAAACTTTATTGTAAAAAGTGGTCCAATTTCTAGAAGTTTGGGTTGCTGGCAGTTTGAACAAATAGAACCCATGAAAGACAAAAACTGCAAAGGGGCAGAGTGGCCAGGCCTACACTATTTTATTGGTTGAATGGCTAGCTTCTTCCTTTGGGCAGAACATTAGCTGGTGTTTGTCCTTTTTTAGTGATAAATTATAGGTAACCATGTACTGGCATGAAGAGTATTCCATCAGTTATCCCTGGGCTCACAGTCCTTCACCCAGAGTATCTTGCACAACTTTCTGGTTAGATCTCTGGTTGGTACCATTTTCTTCCAGTGCAGTCAGTGTCACAATTTGCTGCCAAATTCCAATAGTGTTTTGGCCAGGAGAAGGAGAGACAGAAACACTGATTTTAATTGTCCTGCTTTGACTTTGACAGATAGTAAGGTCTGACTTACTCTATCAAATGCAGAATGACAGTTAAAGATAGTTTCTATTATCAACTATAGTTTCATATATTTATTGAAACCTTTTATTGTTTCTGTTTTATGGCTAGAACTACTGGTCCCTCAGAAGTAGTTGCAAGATTCTTTCTTATTCATTAAAGAATAAAAAAGTCAGAACAGCAAAATCCAAACCAAAAGTAAAACTGAAACTCATCAATCCCTGTTGATTCTTTAGTAGATCCAGTTAGGATCATGGTCAGAGCCAGTAGTAGCAACAAAGGAGGAAAGAGGACAGGTTGAATTCTGAAAACCAACCTTACTATTTGTGGATCAGAACTAGTTTTGATCCTTTTCCTTAAAAGTAAATAAATTCCCTAGTGCTTGATTGTTTTTTTCCTCTTTCTAAATTTCAGGAAACCTAATTTCAAAAAGTTAGGTACCTGAAAAAGTAGCAGTCTAGCATTCCCACTCAGGCTTAACCTTGTGGAGTGAGGGTAGAGGGGGGAAGACTCTGCCTTTGTACTTCTTTCTCCTTAGTTGAAAGCAATAGAACCTCCCCAAAACATTAAAAATGGTAGCTATTTGGTTTTTTTTTTGGTTTTTTTTTTTTTTTAGGGGGATAAGGTGGAAGGAGAGGGTGGTGATTCAAGCACTGTGCCTGAGGAAGTTTGGAGAAACTGCATGTCTCTGATGAAAAAGTTCTGACTTAACGGATTTTGCCCTGCTGGTCACAGTGAGAAGTCTAAGCCTACGAGCCTTTTAGTATGTGTGCTGCCGAAGCGAGCACTAAGCCTACGAGTCTTTGCTCCATGTGATTGTTCATGGTTCTAGGCTTCTTCCATCTTCTTTGCTCTTCTCCAGAATGTTGCTCCCTTTGGCAGCATTATAACTGGTGGCTGTTAGGTCCATTCCAGTCCATAGGAAAGGGAAACCTAATTTAGCCATGAGCAAATCATTTTTTTTAAGTGATGTAAATGTTGTACACTTGCTTCTAGTCATATTGTATTGGTGAAAACTTGCCGTGCTTAACTGAGAAGAAGTTTGGAAAATAGTCTCAGGCTCAGCCAGATGTGGACCTTCTTAAACCTTTAATAATGTAGAGGAAGGAGAGTATGATTTTTGTCTGTTGAATATTTTCTATAGGGTTATGTGCCTTATTGGATCAATCTGTAAAGTTCTTCAGATATTCTAAATTTGAATAACTTTTTGGGGATATAAATTGCATGGGTTTTTCTCTCATCTGTGTTATATTGATTTTGTCCATGACATCTTTTGCTGTATATAGAAATTTAAAGTTTAATGTAAAATTTTCAAGTGTTTTTGGGTCCCTTTTTGTTACAAATTTATATTTGTGGATTGAGCTCTGGTTACTCTGTATCGGTTTTGTCTCTATGGGTAGATGGGACACTAATTATTAGGCCCCCTCATAAGCAGTTTATAGTCAGTTTTTCTTTTTTTGTGGGGGGTTTTGTTTTGTGCATAGTTCAGGCCGCCTCAAACTTGTGATCCTCCTGTTTCAGCCTTCCGAGTGCTGGGATTACAGACATGCGCTGCCACACCTGGCCTATAGTCATCTTTTCCATTTTAATTTGAAAAAGAGAAGAGAAATGTGTTTTAACTGTGAAAACCCAAACCATCTGTTTGATGACTCCTGTCACCTTTAATTTTATTCAATAGGATTTACAATTCTTTGTGTTTTTGTTATTTTACTACACAATTGTTATCAAATTGTTCATTTTTTTTCAGAATGCTTCCCTAAAATTTGTTTTGAATTTAGAAGATATTTGCAAAAATAGGGAAGTTAGATTGAAGTGCTGATGTAAGAGATCAAGTTTGGTGTGAAATGTAGTGTCCAAGCTGTTAGATATTACTGGTGAGCAGTAAAAACTCTGGATTGCAGGAGAGGAGTTGGTGCCAAAGATGTGGACTCAAAGACCATAAAGTCCAGGGAAGACTATTGCAGAAGAGTATAAAGACATGTAGGGAGCTGCACTTTCATTTATAGAGGTCTGAAAGAATCAGCTGCAGAGACAGATCTTAGACTATATAATCTTCATTACCAATCTTAGGAGATACATGATAGTTTTCTAATTTTATAGGTGAGTAAAGAGAGATGACTTTTATTTATTGTTGAATAGCCAGTGGATGGACCAGTTGGTTCTTGAGACTAGGCCTTTATGACTCCAAATCCTGTATTGATCCATTGTATCTCCTTGTTTGTTAAATTAGAAGAGCATTTTTCTGAAGAGAATGTAGGTAGTCCTGTGTGAAAGGAATTCTAGGGTGTTTGAGGACTTGCTAGAGGCCCCTGGACTATCAGTTTTGTTGCATTCTGTGCTGATGAAAACAGTTGCTTAGTAGGAAGACAGGTAAGTGTATAGAAAGGGTTAGTTGAGGGGGAAGGTAGTAGAGTTCAGTTACTCCAGTATGCCATTTCATGAAATTTGGTGGTGAAAGGAGGGAAACATGGAGAGGAAGATGCAGGATTTTAAGATTTGTTTTTTGAGATAGGGCAGGGAGATGTACAAAACTCTAAATAAATTTGTAGTTAGAAAAGAAAGATTCAGGGCCAGGGACTTATTAGCTCAGTGGTGCTGCACCTGCTTGGCAAGCACAAGGTCCTGAGTTTGATTCTCAGTACTGGGGGTGGGGGGGAAGATTCAGCTAAGCACGTGGAATTTCATCAGAAACATTGGTAATAGAGTCTGAAAGACAGAAGAGATAGAATATTTTTATTTAAAGAGAAGGATGATGTTTGGGGTGGAGGTGTTTGAAAATCCTCTCAGCAGTTAGGTGCTCCTGAGAAGGTATGTATTAGGGACCTGGTGCTAGAGTCCTGTGGAGAATTAGAAATAGCAATGCAGTCAGGGTGTGTTCTTTTGAAATATTTAACTTTTTAGATTGCATAATGATTTTAAATTAATGGTAAATTCAATTCATAAAATATGAAGAAACTAGAAAAACGAGTCACATTGAAATAATTTTTTTCTGTAGAACAAGTGCTATAATCTTGAAAGCAAGGTTCTTAACAGTTATAACTACAATGAAACTTCTCTGAGTTACTTGTTCTTTGGGCACAAGGAAATGTATGCCATGTTTTATAGGCATTTATCATTTTTAGTACAGAATAAATATAAACAATGCCATTAACCATCAACTTTTCCTGTATTACCAAGTATTATCATTTGTTGATTCTTTTTCCATTATTATATATGTTTTGTAGGTAATTTTACCAGTGATTAATATAAACACAAAAATGATTATTTATATCTTATTTATTATGAAGCAGAAATCAAAGAACATTCTGCAGAAGAAGATGGCGAAGCAGAAGTGGATAGCAGCAAGCAGCCAGTCCCTGCTCTTCAGCAGCTGCTGTCTGAGGAATCTACAAACTCCCTGGTCTCTGTTGGTGTAGAAGCCAAAATCAGGTTAGAAAATGAATAGAGCTGGATTGGAGATTGGTGATAGGGAAAAGGGACGTGAGTTGGCTGTAGAGAAAATTCTGGGAGGGAAGATTTTGGATGTTAGTATGGATGGAGTTTTGTCATTTAGTAGCTTTGAATGTGAGGCTCATAAACTGTGTGGAGTTGGGGTAGAGGATGCTGTTTTCTTGGTGACTGTGTAGATTAAAGGACTTGTTAGGGTGTCACTGTTGCTTAGAGAAGTCCAGAATATGAGCAGAATGCCATTTTTGGCTGAAGAAATAACTGTGAGTATTTAGCATAAGAATTCATTTTTTAATACTTTTCTGTATAGTCTAGTTCCTTCCCTCTCCCGGTTCTTCAAAGAAGGAAACAGGATGTTACAGCCTTTAATATCTAGTTCAACTTTGAAATCAGCTTTGAAGTCTTGAATTTCTTAGGCCCTGTTTGAAAGACTTGACTAAACCTGTGAAATTATCAATTTGTTGAATAATCTCACCTTCTGAAAGTATGTGGCTTGCTTTTGGCACACTTCACTTCTCATTTTGTCTTCTGTGGGTTTCTGTGGATACTCTTCACTTTTATCATGTTGGAGTCCCCAGGTATCTGGTCTGTTTTTTGGTTTTTTTCACTTCCTGGGAAAGCTCATCTAGTCTGACGTGCCTTGTGTATATTCTTAGGAGACCCACATCTACACTCTTGTGCTAAGACTCAGGCCCATCTTGCTGCTTAACAGCTTCCTCTGGAAGTGTATGAGACACCTCACCCTCAGACAGGTCCAAAACTATACTTGGTTCCATCTCTGCCTGTACCTCAAATTTGTTTTGCTCTCTGACATTACAACAATTAATACCCGTGTTATTAGTTGCTTAGTCCAAAAGTTTGGAGTTAATGCTTGCTTTCTTTCTTTTGTCATATTTCATATCCAGTTCAATAAATGATGTAGCTCAACTTCAGAGGATAACTCACACAACTTACTTACTGTCTTAACTGGCCATTGTGGTCAAAGCCATTGTTGTCCACCAGAGTCTGTTTAACTGGTCTTTCTGCTTATTCTCTTTATCTTTGTGCAGTCCAGTTTGTTCTTAGCACAGTTGCAAAAATTACCCTAAAATGTGAATCAGGTTTCCTTTCCTACTATCTGCAGTACTTGTTTGTTATATTTAAAATAAATATTTACATTTAACCTGCAAGTCCTGTTTCCAAAGGGCATGAGGTAACCTGGCTGTCTCTCTTACCTCGTTTGTCACCATGCTGTCCTCACTTTCAGCTCCTCCTTGCTCCAACACACACTGATTGTGTTTCTGTCTGAGAGCCTATGGCTTGCTTTGCTCTTTCTTAGGTCTGACTTCCCCAGAGAGGCCTTCCTAACCACCTCCTTTTAAATATTGGTCTCTGAGTATTATGTTTACCTGGGTTTCATTAAGCCGAGGAAAACCAGCACACATGATGAATCTAGGTAAAGGACATACAGATGTCTGTTATACTGTAGTTCTTTCTCCCCCAGTGTTTTTCAGGAGGTTTGAGCATTTTCAAAATAAAAGAGTAGTAGCTTTAGGGTCCAGGGATTTAGCTCAGTGGTTTTGCCGCCTGCTGCGCAAGCACAAGGACCTGAGTTCGAGCCCCGGTACCAAAAAAAAAAAAAAAAGAGTAGTAGCTTTACAGTTTCTGGTCCTTGTATGGTTTTTTTTTTGTATCAGGGATCGAATTGTGGACCTTACACTTACGAGGCGGGTGACGGAACCACTGAGCTAAATCCCCGGCCCACTTTTTTGTTTTTAATTCTTCTCTCTTGCTTGGGTTTTTATGGGGTTTTTTTGGCCGGGGGTGGGGTGGCACTGGAGATTGAACTCTCAGGTGTGTTCTACCACTGAGCTGCACCTTCTGTCCTTTTTTTTTTTTTTTTTTTTTGAGATAGGGTCTTGCTAAGATGCCCATGCTGATTTTGATCTTGAAGTCCTCTTGCCTTACCCTCTAAGTAGCTTGGATTACAGGTGTGCGCCACCATACCTGGCTAGTTTCAGATCTTGTAGTTAAATCTTTAATCCATTTTGAGATGATTTTTTTATTTGGTGTGAGACGAGAGTCCAGTTTCATTCTTCTGGATTTGGATATCTCATTTTCCCAGCAGTATTTATTTATTTATTTATTTATTTATTTTTTGGTACTGGGGATCGAACTCGGGCCCTTGTGCTTGCGCAGCAGGCGGTGAAAACCACAGAGCTAAATCCCCGGCCCTCCAGCAGTATTTATTAAAGAGACTGTCATTTCTCCATTCCGTGTTCCTGGCGTCTTTGACAAAAGTCAATTGATAGTAAATGTGTAGGCTTATTTATGCAGTTTCTACCCTGTTTCAGTAGTTGATGTGTCTGCTGTTATGCCACTACCATGCTGGTTTTGTGTGCATGTGTATTTGTGCATGTGTGTTCATTCTTTTTGTTTGTTTCCAATCCTAAGGATTGAACTTCACACATGCTAGGTGAGTACTCTATCACTGAGCTACAGGCCCAGCCTCGTTTTTTAAATTGTCTCTTTTGAGATAGGATCTCATCAACTTGCTTAGGCTGGCTGGCTTCAAACTTGAAATCCTTCTGCCTCACCTTCCAGGTAGCTGGGATTACAGGCCTGCATCACTGCATCTGGCCTTATCATGCTGTTTTGAGTATAATTACTTTATACTATATTTTGAAGTCAGAGAATATTTTGCCTCCCGCTTTGTTCTTTTACTCAAGATAGTTTTGACTATTTGGGTGTCTTTTGTGGCTCAATGTGAATTTAAGGATTGTTTTTTCTGTTTCTATCAAAAATGACATTGGAATTTTGGTGAGAATTGCATTAAATCTATAGTTTGAGTGTCATGGACATATTCACAGTGTTCTAATTTGAGAGTGTAGAATATCTCTTTTTTTTGTACTTTAAAAAATTTCATTCGCAAATATTTTATCGTCCCAGTGTACATGTCTTTTATCCCTTGGTCATATGTACACAAATATTTAATATTTTTGGTTGCTAGTATAAAGGAAACTATAAATTTTTGGATATTAGTATGTAAAATGCTACTAATTTTTATTTTCATATCTTGAAGCTTTACTGAATTCAAATTTAGTTCTAACAATTTCATGCTGATGTCTTACAGAGTTTTCTCTATCTGTATAAAGTCATATTGTCAGCAGGTAGAGACAGTTTAACAACTTTTCTTATCAAGATACCTTTATTTCCTTCTCTTGCATAATTGTTCTTTAGTACTGTCTTGAATTGATGAAGTGGCCATTTATTATTTTATCGTTTATTGTATATATAGTGTCTCTTCCTCATTCTGTATTTTATTTGTATATTGCCTGCTTTTTTCCCTTAGAGATACTTTTAAAGAATTAGGTTTTGGTTTTGTTGATCTTTATTGCTTGTCTTTATTTCTTACTTATTTATTTATTTCTTATATTATTTTCCTGGATATTTTTTTCTATTAATATCAGTGTTCTCATTTACTTTTTTCTTCTTTTTTTGGTACCGGGGATTGAACTGAACTCGGATCCTTGCGATTGCGCAGCAGGCGGCTAAACCACTGAGCTAAATCCCCGGCCCACTCATTTACTTTTTTCTAATACGTTTAGTTGAAATTTTAGCTCATGGCATCTAAACTTTTAATTTATTGATAATTTATGTAAATTTGTAAGTTCACATTTGCTTACAAACTTTAGCTGCATCTCATAAAGTTTTACTTTCAGTATTTTTGTTATTGTCCCATCCCAGATGCTATGGTTTACATTTTAACTGAAAGGTTCTTAGCTATATGTTTTCTAGTTTAAGCTGTTTATTATACATCTAGTTTAACTGGTTTATTATACATTTCTAGTTTATGGCACTATTTTCAGAGAATATTGTCTGTATGATACAGACATTTTGAATGTATGAAGTCTGTTATGCCAATTTATAGTACATTTTGGGGATATTATACTTGAATAGAAAATGAGCTCTTTGTTGTTGGTAGAACTGGATAGAATAGTTCAGAATACTACAGATTATTTTTATATCCTAATGAAAAATATGAAGGTTGATGGAATGAATATTCCTGAAGCAATGGTTGAAACTTAAGAGTGCTTGAGAAGAAAGATTTGGATGTGGCAAAGTAACTTTGTTGTGAAGAGAAAATAGATCTAGGAGGAGAATTCCTTTTAATTTTGTTTTTCTAAATGTTTATTTCATAATGTATATTAGTTTTAGTCTTAACATTTTAATGTTTTCTCTTTTTAAATTAAGAGACTTTAATTTTTAGAACACTTTTAACAGAAAAATGGAACAGACAGCAGAGTTCCCATTATCCCACACAGTTTAGCATTGCAAGTTAGTGTGGTACATTTGTTAAATTGTTAAACCAATATTGATACATTATCTTTAAAGCCTGTAGTTTACCTCTCTGTGTGTGTATGCACACCCAGTGGTATATGTATGATGCATGAAGCACTGTTACATTAGATGGCTGAATACAACTATGTTACTACTCTATACATCCAGCATGCAACCACATGGGTGTTAAAACTTCGTCCCCTTCCCCATCTTTACTTTTATTTTGCTTATTCTTTTACAGTAAAATTTTGATTGTCTGTAGCAGATTTTTTAAAAAATCATTTTTCCTAAGTACAAACTGAAATTTCTAAATTTGGTATGCTTATTACTTTTAAAAAATCATGCTGGGCTGGGGATACTGGTATATATAGCTCAGTGATGGAACTTTTTTTTGTGGTACTGGGGATTAAACTCAGGGTGAACTATGTCTCCAACTCCTTTTTTTTTTTTTTTTTTTTTGGTACTTGGGAACGAACTCAGGATCTTGGTGCTTGCGAGGCAGCCGGTGGCACCACTGAGCTAAATCCCTGGCCCCTACAACTCTTTAAAAAAATGTAAAAAAAATTTTTTAAAATATGTTTTGAAATAGGGTCTTGCTGAGTTGCTAAATTGCCCATGATGGGTAGAACTTGTGATCCTCCTGCCTCAACCTTTCAGAATGCTGGGTTTAATGGTGTGCACAAGCATGCTGGACTATTTTGGGGCACTTGCCTACCATGCATATGGCCCTGAGTTCAATCACCAGCAATGCACGCATGCACGCATGCATGCATAAATAAATATGCTGTGGAAAAGTAGAGTTGCTAATGTATAATTGTTATTAAACTTAACTGTTCTTAAGGTACAAAAGAACAGATTATAGAAAATACATTGAAAAAACTTTGCTTGCACTAAAGATACAATTGTGAAGCACAAATGACTAATTACATTACTTAAAGCCATTGAATAAAGCTACTTTTCATCTTTTCTGTCTTCCTCACTTTCCCTTTTTACCAGTGAACAGCTCTGCGCTTTTTGTTACTGTGGGGAAAAAAGTTCCTTAGGACAGGGCGACTTAAAACAATTCAGAGTAACGCCTGGATTTTTCTTGCCGTGGCAAAGCCAGCCTTCTAACAAGAACATTGATGACAGCAGCAGTGGAACCTATGAGAGAATACAAAACTCAACTCCACGAAGACAAAGAGGACAGAGAAAGTAAGCAGTTTTGAATTTAAATTGGTGGAATGAAACTGTATCTATTGATTGTTTATAATTGTTCAAGTGGGTTCTTACTGTTGAAGTTTCTCATGTTTTCCAAATTCGTGAAGTATTCTATGACTCACCTAAGACACTCCTTTCCTCAAAATTTATTTCTTATTTTTAAAAGATTGTTAATTGTACATTAACAAAATCAATAGAATGACAACAGTTAGCTTTTGGAAGAAAATTTTAAAAGTAAGCAGAGCGTGAGTTCATGCATGGGATTTATAAATAGAAGATAAACACCACTGAAGCCCTTTCTTTCCACTAAGTAAGTTTTTAATTATTTGTATGAATATAGCATAATAGCAAAACAAGAATTGTTATAGCCAGAAGGCTGAGGCAGGAGGATTGCTGTGAGTTTGAGGCCAGTTTGGACTATATAGTGAGTTCAAGGCCAGCCAGAAGTACATAGCAAGACCCTGTCTCAAAACAAACTATATAAAAGAAAGAAAAAAAACCCATATTTTTTTCACTATTCAAATCCTTTGTGCCATTCATTCATTTATTCATTCTGTCATTTAGTTAATTAAATTCTTATGTATTTGTTTTGGAGAATGTTGAGCTGTCCTAAATTCTAATCAGAACACAACTCTCTTTTTTTCTCTTTCTCTTTTCTTTCTGTAATTATATGCTTAGGATTCCTTTTCTGAAGAGACCAAAGATACTTTTTTAAGAAAATAAAATGTTTGGTTAACTACATGTACATTTGTATCCATGGGCACATTGTTGTTACCCAAAGCTCCTGTCTATTATGCTTTTAAAGTATTTTGTGCTGTTGTGGTTAAAGACCATCTTAATTTTAATATATGGACTTAGCTCTGTTAAGGGAATGGAAGTTCTTGTTGTTGACCAGAAGGTATAAAAATTAATTTAGCTTGGAAGGCTGACCAGCCCTGCTCCTTGCGGGTGATGATGTAATCATCCAGTGCCTCTCTGGCATAACTCCAAATTTGAGCACTAAAAGATTGTTGTGGTCTGCTTCTTGATGGCTCATTGATTTGAACTGCTGCCAATGCCTTGAAGACTTGAAGTAGGAAATGAAACAGTAACAAGAATAAGAATTGTTTAAAAGAATTTAAGGAAGTTTAGAAGTACTGTATTTGGAGACTCATGTTGTTTAAGACTGTACCTAAGCATATTTATAAGCCTTATGTGTTACTAGTTGGGTGTTCACATATACACCCAAAGTCCAAAAAACTTAAAATATCCATCAATACTTAGCAAATTCTATAGACCAGAACACACTGTATGTTATATCCTCATGTTGTGCCTTTAATAATGGCAGTTAGGTAAAATCTTATTCTAGAAAGTAGAATTAGGCTTTATTTAATTACTTATTTTATAAGTGAAGTTAATTTTTAGTGAAAAATTTTAAGAGCTCAGAAAATTGTGTAAAAATAGTCTTGACTTGGGTTAGGGATTTAGCTCAGTGGCACCATGCCTGCCTTGCAGTTCGATTCCTGGTACCAAAAAAAAAAAAAAGTCTTGGCTTAATGAAAGTTGCTGTACTTAGTGCTTACTAAGTTTATTAAGTAGTGATAAAAAGCCCATTAATGAAGTACTCTTAGAAAATTTGGCACTCATATGGGCTAGGCAGTCAATTCAGCTTAGTAATAATCTTAAATATTTACAAAATATGTTACTAATGAGGTATAAATAGCTAGTTAATTTTTTAAAAAATTTGATGCAATTTTTCCAATGGTTGTCCCACTTGTTTGTACTAAATATAAGACTACACAGTCAAGGATACTTCTGCTTCTCCTCTCTCCCTTCTCCCCCCTTCCCCTTCCCCCTTCGTTTTCTTCTTTTGGTTTTTTGCTTTGTTTTGTATTATAACTTAAAATTTTGTGAGTATGTATTTCAGTTGACTTTTCCTAAGTTGGACTGCTGTAATATTTAGGGTTGACATTGGCATCTGATACGGTGTATACATCCAAATCAGTCTCAAAACCTGATTTAAGTTTTTAGTTAGGAACTGATTCCTGGTAGTAATAGACTGATTAGTCATTCCATTGGTTTTTACCTTCCCCCATCAAATACTAGTGCTTTAAAACAATACATTAATATTTACAGATGATTCTGCCGCCTGCCTTGCAAGCGCAAGGATGAGTTTGATCCTTGGCACCAAAAAAAAAAAATATTTACAGATGAACTGTCAGTCTTTATTTCTCCCAACAAAGTAACATGAAGGATATATTTGTAAGACTGGAGATTATATTTGTAGGAAAGAATTTGTTCTCATTTTATTGTGGGCATTTTTAAAAATGAGAATTTACAGTTAGCATAGCATGCTGAACCTTTTTCTAATGCTGAACATAAAAGTGACTGGTTTTTATATGGTTTGATATTTAAATGTACTTATTGAAATATGTTAATACTTTTTTTCTTTCAATGATTCCAGGTATAAAAATGTTTAGTACCCTGGTCATTGTGCTGATTTTCTCTTAATAGGAATCATGATAAATATCCAGCATACAGAAGTGCAGTGAGTTACATCTATATTCAATAGTGATTTAATCCAGAATTATCATCAAGTTAAATACTGATATTAGGAGAAAATTTAAGTTTTAGTGGTAGCCACCTGATTTCCCATAATTAATTTTGAGTACAGTAGTCCTCTTTGTTTACTGAATAATCTTAAAACATACCTTTAAGTGTTAGGGTTTGAAAGTCTGAAATATCCCATATATTATATACTTTATTCATCATTCGTTTTTTATATTCTAGTTTTAACTGTTGCATTAGCTTTGTCAGTCCTCATGCCTTTAGTAGCTATTGTTTTTCTGATTGATGAGATATAGTCTTGATTGAGACTTCTTCAACATCATGCCACAAACCAGCTATTGAGATTTTGTCAAAGGGACCATATGAAAGTGCAGCTGATGTGTTCCATTCCTCCTGCCTCCCTTTGCACACTGTATAGCAGATTTTCATTTTCCTAGGAAAGTAACCTTTCTTTATGTAAAATTAATTGCCACCTCTTCTGTGCCAGTCCTCTATTAGATGAAGCATATTAAAATTTTCTGGTCAAGCTCCATTTTGTAAGCATTTCAGTAAGACCAAAGGGAATTTTAATTTTATGTGTTAAACATGGTTCCAGACTAGAATATGAGTTAATTAAAAAAAATTATATTAGAGAATGGAAAAAATCATTTGCAATTATAATCTTAATACTTTATTATGGGTTTGGAGACACTCGATTATTGCTTACAAGAATAATATGGCATACACTTTAACATACTATGAATAATAATAAATGAATCTAAAAGTTGTTTTATCACAGTTTATGTCTAATAAATTAAAATTGATTAGGCAGTGCATTGTACCTAAGTTTTTATGAATGAAATGATTTTCTTCTTGTTATCACTTTCAAAGGCATTTATCTTATCCCATTTTATTTTCAGAGAGCGATCTCCTCAGCAGAATATGGTGTCTTTTGTAAGTGTAAGCACCCAGACAGTTGCAGATGATCAGGCTGGTAAATTGTGGGATGAGCTCAGTCTGGTTGGCCTTCCAGATGCCATTGATGTCCAAGCCTTATTTGATTCTACAGGTAGGGGCCTTTCTTCAGCAACAGTTGCCTTTTGTTCTGGAAGCATTTAAATTTTAGTGTTTCACCAACTTATTCAGTAGTAAATACTTTTCATGTGGAAATAATCAGGACCACATTATCAAACATGTTATTAAGTATACCTGACTGAGTAAAAGAAATTGTCTAATTATGCTTTTTAACTTATTTAAAATCTGCAGAGTGCCAACTCTGGACTGGATGCTTTTATTCATGTTTATTCTGCTGTAGTTAGCATTACCATGGATACCTAACAAATGAGGAAAGAGAAGAATTAAAGGGATAGGTGGAAACTTGGAAACATGGCAGTCTTTATCTGTTTTGGGGTGAGGGGGATTGCTCTTAGCCACATGAGTTCTTTTGTAATAATAGTAGAGTAACTCACATTCATGACATGGTGCTATTGGAATTTTAAGTAAATCTCATTGTATGTTTGAATTGCTGGATTGGTGGATAGTGGTTCAAGTGCTATGTGATGGAGCATTTTAGGACTGAGCTACTGTCGATGTATTATGCCTGCTCTTGCTTGTATTGGAGGGAGCAGAATCACATGTGTCATTATTTTCCTTCCATACATTCATTCCCTTTGTCAAATGAAACAGTCATCATGATATTTAAATAAAATGACTGAAAACTAATTTTTGCTTGTTGAAGAATTGATCACTAATTGAGTAATTCCCAGACTTTCATGTGCATCAGAATCACCAGGAAGGCTGGTTACAGCTCACTGCCCCACTGCAGGTGTTTCGTATTGAGCCAGTCTTAGTGGTGTGCAAACAGGTTCCTAGATTGGGGTCAGTGCTGCAATTCACAGACTGGAGCATGGCCTGAGAAAAGCTGCTTGATAGTATAACATGCAGCACACCATTGTGTCCTCACACATTAAGCATTTATTTTGAAGCTTTATGTATTCATTTATTTGCATTCATATTTTGATGCTTATTCATTTGCTCTTTTTCACTTTTGAGGCACTTGTTGGGCTCATCACCGTTGTGTGGAGTGGTCGCTGGGTGTGTGCCAGGTAGAAGAACCATTCCTAGTGAATGTGGACAAAGCTGTTGTCTCAGGGAGCACAGAAGTAAGTACAAGGCACCAACATTTAAACCAAAATTTTATAACTTTGAATTTATTAACATAGAGGTTTACTTGCAAGAATTAATTTAAATGATTACTATGGTATTGAAAATCCTGGAAAAAAAAAGAATCCTGAAAATAGGAAATCAGTTATTTTTATCAAGAGTAATACATACAATAATTGTATGTATTATGTAATATGATTAATAAACTTAAACCTTAAATATTTTATATTTAAATCAGAAATTAACATGTTTAAAAATGGAAATTACTAACTACACTTACATATCTATGTGGTTATTCTTTAAGACAAAACTATTTGATGAAGATTTAAAATAAGAGAGACAAGATTTGACACATCTTTTGTCCATAATGTGGACTTGCTCTGTGCAGTATTTTAAACATCGCTGGGTAGGGTGGCACACACTTGTAATCCCTGTATTTGGGAGGCTAAGACGGGAGGATTGCTATGACTCCAAGGCTAGCCTGGACTACATAGTGAGTTCAAGGCCAGCTTGAACTATATAGTGAGACTCTGTCTCAGAAAATAAAAACATTTTAAACATTGATTAAAATATTTCTTTTTAGTCCAGTTGGCAATTCAGTTAATACTTTTGGCTTTATGCCAACATAATATATACACAGCCTGCCACTTTTCAAAGCTTTTATAGTCATTATCATGTGATTTTGAGGCAATCACAAAAATAAATGCAATTGCCTCCCATCTATAAAGGCAGCAAACTCTGTGAAATAATAATGATGTGTTGTTTACAAATTCCCTTTGGTTTTTGACAAGTATATTTGGGAGAAGTGAGATAGCTCTTCTAAAGAAACCCTAAAACTAGAAAATTTGGTTGTAGAAATGATATGGGCTTTTATCAATAGAATATAGGTAATGCTTTCAAAAGTACAGTTGAGACAAGGACATAGATTCAAATAGTCCTCAGTTATTATATCAGCTTTACTCAGGTTATCAAAAAGACCTCATTCACATGGATGAGTAACTGTTGCCTTAAGAAGAGTCAGGCCAGAATGCTTATTTTAGAATTTGACATTACACTGAAGTGCATGGCATCAAATTCTGAACATTATAATGTGTACACTGCCCAGCTTGAACTTATAGTGGTACCTCGGTTCACAAATTTAACTTGTTCCATGATTCTGGCGAAGTTGGCTGTGCTTGTGTTCATCACCTGATGGCAGAGTTTGTGAATGGAAACAAAATTTTGCCCAGTGCTTCTGTTTGCAAACTGAATTGTTTGTGAATAGAAGCATTCACGAACCAAGGTATTATTGTACACAGACGACTGGATGAAAAGTGTGGTGGAGGCCAAAAAGACCTCTGTGGTGTTGGACTAGAAATAGAGGGGTCAATAAAATTCATATGATGTTTATCAAATAGTGAAATATATAATATACACATACACACATAAGGTTGTATAAAATAGATTTCCTTTCTCTGCTCAGAGATTGGTTAAAAGAAAGCTTGCTTCACCCTGTCTTTTTGGACAAAAGGTACCATTTTTTGAATCTTACTGATGAATATTTTAATGTTACATAGAGATTAAGGTTATCCCTTATTCTTAGTGGAGGAATGCTAGAGGCTAGGAAGACTTGCATTCCTTTTGACTTTGGCTAGGCATTGGAGGTTCACAGACCCAAGCTAGTTAAATGCTGATGGAATACTTGGAGTTGGTGAGATTGGAAGGAGCTAGTGGGAGTATTATCAAACCTTTGCCTCCCCACTAGATTCAGTCACTCAAAACTTACAGTAGGGTCAGTATTTTATTGCTATTTTTGCTGATTTTTTGTTTGCTTTATTTTCTCCATTACCAAATAGGCATATGATGGGCCATTAAGCTAGAACTTTCCCTTTAAGAAAGGAATATTTGACTCACTGACAGAATTTCAAACTAACAGCAAAACATTAACTAACAAGGCTGTGAGGAAGCAGGTAGCCTCATACTTTGCTGGTACAGATGCAAGTTGGTACCATTACTCTGGGTAGAAGCTTGCTGATATAGAATAGACTGCAAACTGGGGATGGTGACACATGCCTGTAATCTCAGCACTTGGGAGGTTGAGGCAGGAAGATTGGTGTGAGTTCATGACCAGCCTGGGCCACATAGTGAATTGAAGGCCAGCCTGGAATACATAATGAGATCCTGTCTCAATAAACAAAACAAACTGGATATGCATTTACCCATTGATTCTTACAAGAATCTATCTTGAATATGCTTCCAACAAAATGTGTACCATTAACGGTTGTTATTTAGAATGTTGCTTAATTTGGAAAAAACCCAAATGCCCACTTATGTTGATTACTTAAATAGTTGAATAAAATGTGACACATCCGTGCAATATTTTTTAGTAAAAAAATATTGAGTATCTCTGTGAGTTGATGTGGAATGGTTCCCATTATACATTAACAGAACAAAAAGTGAAAAAGAGCATTTATGGCGTGCTACCTTTTGTGTAAGAAAAAGGAGAAATAAAATACTCACAAATATGCTTAATTATAAAAAGCATAGGAAGATTAAACCAGAAATCAAAGAGATTGATTACTAATGAAAAGTGAGAAAGAGGTGGAAGGGAGTAATATCCATGCCACAAGGAAGAAATGTGAGGAACATTTCTCAGGTTGTGGTGGTGTATATGTGTGCGTGTGATCTAGGAATGTTTTACATATTTCGCGAATAAGCAGTTTCCAGCAGCCAGGATGTTGGGGATCCAAAAAGTAGCACATTGAAGGGGACTTGGAATAAAAGAAGTAACTGAAGTAATGGCAGAAATAGTACCTTGATTAGATAACATAAAGCTAAAGAGAAGACTATATAAATACAGTGTAATATGATTTGTGGATTTTCTTCTCACTGGAGTATGAGTTGACATTTGTAGAGCTATGTATGTACTGTAAGTGACCAAATAAGTAAAACTATTGCAGATAACCAGTTAAGTTTCTCATGTTGAAGAAAGTAACTACAAATAAGGATTATCCATGCTTTTTTGGTTTTTTTGAGAGTGTCTTGCTATGTAGTCCAGGCTGGCCTTGAAATCACTGTGTATCCCAGGCTGGCCTTGAACTTGCAGCGATGCTCCTGCCTCAGCCTCCCAAGTGCTGGGATTATAGGCGTGTGCCACCATGTCCAGCTGGTTGTAACTACAAATAAGGAAAGGCTAAATGAACTTTGTAGTATTTGAATCAAATCAGAAGGATATGGTGCTTTGCAATGTAAACCAGAAAAATACCAATTGGAGTCTATATTCCCTATTTCCCCCCACAGTTTGTTAGAGGAAAAGTAAACCTTAACAGATCTGGATTCCAGAAGGATCCACAGGACTGCCTCCACATTTAGAGATTTGCTAGGATGAATGGGACTCAGCATAGAGTTACAATGGCTAAGCTTTACTACTGTGATACTGTATGGATGTGCAATGGAAGGTTGTCAGTGGAAAGATACTCCAGCAGGGTCTCGAAGAATCCATGAAGAGGCAACCTGTGCAGCCTCCTTCTTATGAGAAGTCATGCAGAATACTTTCTTTCCCTAACAGTGAATATATAGCAGTGTGCCTGTGATGCCCCAGAAAACTGAAGGTTGTTATTAAGGGCTTGTTACTTAGTCATCCTTTGTCTAGCTTATATGACATTTTCAGACTCAGGGAAAGAATCACAGGGTAAGCTGCATTATTTCAAATGCTAGGTACAGTAAACCATGCTTATCAGTTAGGGAACCCTCTCAAAGTCTTAAGTTCCCAGAAGCCAGTCTTGGGCCATTAGGCACACAGACCTTTCTAAGGATAGTAGTCTTGGGCCATCTATGTAAACCCTTTTTTGCACAGTACGGTGATTGGAAGATAGCTCAATTTCAACATATTTCTCTTTAGAGGCCTAAAAGATATTGTGCAGTACAATGTTGAATTATTCTCCATCATAGGCAAGATATGATAAGTGCTCTAATGGTTATACAAAGGAACTTTGAAACTTTGAGCAGAGGAAAGACAGTGCCAAGGCTACTTTTGATTGCTAATATCAGAAAAATCCTATATTTAATTCTGAAATAGATTTTAATGAGCCTACTAGGTATTTTTCTTGACTGGCATAAACTTAAATGTTTTTTAATTCTTATACTTTAACCCATTTGCATCATTGCATTTAACATGCCAATTTTGGAAGTAATAGCTTTGTTTTTAATCTAAGATGACAGTTCTGACTTTATTGGGGCATTTAGCCATGTACATGTAGTGTGATTACGTTCTTCCTATTTGTTTTCTGGTTTTGTCCATTTGATTTCCATTTTGCTGCATTCTTTGACATTGAGTGTTTTCTTTATGGTTTCATTTTATATCTTTTGTTAGATTATTACCTTTAACTCATTGATATTTTCGTGATTGGTTTAGTTTGTGTAATATCTTTCAGTTACCTCAGTTTACTTTCAAGTGATATTGTATAGTTTCATCTGTAATAAAAGCATACTTAGGTTTTTTTCCTTCTGGATTTTGGTGCTGTTGCAATTGATTAAAAAAGAAATTCACACTTCTGTGTTCTTTATTCCTTTGCATAGCTCCAGGATTTTATCTGATATCATGTTCTTTTGTTATGAAAGATATCCTTTAGCATTTCTTGAATTGTAGTTCTGCTGGTGATGACTTATTTTGTCATTTATATTTCTGAAATGCTTTTATTGTTTTTTTTCTTTTTGGGTACCGGGGATCAAACTCAGGACTTTGTGCTTGCAAGGCAGGCGCAGTGCCACTGAGCTAAATCCCTGGCCCCTGAGATGCCTTTATTTTACCTTCATATTTGAAAGATTTTTGCCAGGTGCAGAATTAAAACACTCCATCCCACCCCCCAGTACTTCACAGATATGGCAGTCTTCTCATTTGTGTTATGTCTCGTGAGGAATCTGATGCCATTATCATCTTTGTTCCTATATGTAATGTATCTTTTAATCAGGTCCCTTTTAATATTGTACCATTGGTTTTGAACAGTTTCATTATGTTTTG